AAATAAAAAGTTAAAGTACATTCTTTACCCTGGACTGTGCTGAGTAGTATTATGTCAACTTGACATAGCTACACTCACTTGGAAAAAGGGAATCTTAGTTGATAAAATGCCCCCCACCAAGACTGGCTCATGGGCAAACCAGCAGTGCATTTTCTTATTTAATGAGTGATGTGGGCTGGTCCAGCTCAAGGTAGGCAGTGCCATCTCTGGGATGGTAGTCATGGGTGCTATAAGCAAAAAGTCAGAGCAAGCCAGTAAGACATATTTCTCTGGTTGCTAACTCCAGCTTTGTGCTTTGTTTCAGTTCCTCCCCTGACTGCCCTCAGTGATGGGCTGTGATGTGCAGCTGTAAACTGAAATAAACCCTCTCCTCTCCAAGTTACTTTTGTTTTTCATGTTTTATCCTCATACTGTTAGGATCCTTAAGTACAATCCCACCAAATGATGAGTGAAACTTTGGTTTATGACTTAGGTAAAGAAAACATGAATGCACAAAATTATCCCCATTCAATTATGAAAATGTTGTTCATTATAAATTGTATTTAAGTATAAAATACATTTTGATATCTTTGTCTTATGGTCCCTGCATTGAACCCAGGACCTCCTCCATGCTAGGCAAGTGCTCCACCACTGAGTCCTATCTCCAGTTCTCCTCTGACATTAAGCCAGGACCTCTCTATATTGTCCAGGCAATGACTTGTTATGCATCCCAGACAGACCTTAACTTGTGATTCCCCTGCCTTAGCCTCCAAAGTCTCTGGGATTGTGGACCTGTACTACCAGACCAAGCTAAAATAATGCATCACTGGAAATGTTTTAATCCTCTTATAAAATAGCAAGTAAGTACTCCAGACTCCTCTTTGCTAATACTTTCACATAATTGAAAAATAAAAACAGGAATCAGCTCTTCTCCTAAGAAATATAAAAAAATTAAATCTTGAACATTGTCTTTGTAGTTTAATTCTTGGAGATTTAACAGATCTTCTGGTATATTCTCACACTGTGATCCTAGTAGGGGTGCCCTAGAGTCACTGGTTCCATTCAAAACTCATTTTGGATCCCTTCTAAAAGGCAGATCCAATGGCCGTCTACCCTCCCTACTCTCATCCTGAGACCAATGCACCGAGGTCCTCCTTGTTCACACAAGGTGACCATTGTCCTGAACCTAGCTCACTTTAGAGGACTTGCCCACTCATCCACCAGTCACAACCAACACACTACTCCTTCCTTTCAAACACCTGTTTCCTAATGTCTTCTCAGACTTTAATCCATCTCTCCCACAACACCTTATTCCTTTCCTGTGGCATTTGTGACTTTTCCTTTTCTGTGTCGACTGAACAGATGTCTCCCAAGAATTCCTATACTTCTCTGATCAGGTCTCTTGCTAGCCTTAACTGTATATATCACAGTTGTGCAAACACATTCCTAGTCTTCCTATGGTTTGATGCTTAGTGCTCACTATGACTGTCTAGGAAGCTCCCAGGAGTTCTGACTCCAACATGAGGCTGTCTGTGTTAAAGACATGATGCTTACTAACCAGCTGCATTGATGCTTACTAACCAGCTGCAGTACAAGGTCACTTCTGTGCCTCTGTTTCCTAATTCTTAAATGGCCAAGAATAAATGTGAAAGACTAAGTTGCTAGGAAATTAACGATTTAGCACATTAACCACACTGAACTTGTCAGGTATGCAACCCTCAAGAGATATAAACTAAAGAAAAAGAAAATACACCTAAATAGCCATATCTTTAAACAAACCATCCCAAGTATGGTACAGTATTATTTGATAATAGAACAATAAATTAAATAATTATTGGATTATAATTTTCAGTCATAACGAGAGTCATGACATTTAGAAATCATATTTATAATCTACATTCTATTAGAAAATAAATTAATTTGAAAAGGTCAGTTGTTGCAGGTAGACCACCTGATGTCAAGAAGACACAGATCTACTCTAGGATTTGGTCATTTTCCCAATCTATGAGTCAGAGAATTAAAATTAATCTCAATCAAATCAGTTGCATGAACAGCAGCAGCAGAGCCTGCCACTCAGTGCCACACTAGCGTCCCCAAGGCAACTAAGAGGATTACAGTCTTGGCCTGGTTGCTATGTTAGGAAGAGGCTGCTAAATTGGGGGCTTTCTCCTGGTTGTACCACACTCTATTTGTATTTTATTTTTAATTAATGTGTCCTGCTAGCATTTTGTCAGCTTGGTACAAGCTAGTGTCATTTGGGAAGAGGAACTGCAATTGGGAAAAAGCTCCAACCAGATTCTTGATGTGGGAGGAGCCAGCTCACTGGAGACAATGCCAAACCAAGGCTGGTGGTCCTGGATACTGTAAGAAAGCTGGCTGTGGAAGCCATGAGGAGGAAGCCAGTAAGCAGCACTCCTCTGGTGGCTTCTGCTGCATTTCCACCTCCAGGTTCCTGCCTTGAGTTTCTGTCCCCATTTTCCTTAGCAATGGACCAAAATGCATAACTGTAAGCTGAAATAAACACCAATTCCCGTTCCCATGCCCCAAGTTGCTTTTGGCTAAGGTGTTTTAAAACAGCAATAGAAACTAATACACGATGTAAACCTTTAGTTTCCCATCCTTCACTGAGGAAATGTTCAAATCCTTCACAGACCTTGGTGCTAGGCTTTTAGGGTACCCCAAGGCTTGCCACTATCATTCCCTTGTGTCCTTTTCTGTTTTATAGACCACGTGCTCTGTCCCCTGCATAACATCTACACTGGCCACACAGCCATCTCTGGATGTTGATAAAGTCCTTCCTCCTAGCGAACCTTTGAACATAAAATATTCCATGCCTGTCAATTTCCCCAGGGCTTACATTGCTTGGTGTCACCTCCTTGAGTTCCTACTTAAATGTCCCCTTTCCTGTGCACCCCTCATCATGTTACCCTAGAGAACTGACATCGACATCCCTATTTTCTTGGTGTCCTAGTGGTGGGTTTTTTATCACATAATATTGGATATTGACTTTATGTTTGTTATCTTTCTTACCCTTGTCTCATATAAAACATGGTATAAGCTACAAGGGAAGACGGAGATTCCTCTGATCTGCATTAGAGCACAGTTAGCTAAAATTGCTCATCTTAGAGTGAAATTCCATCAGCATTTGTTAAACAAATGAATGAACAATAGACACTGGAACAAGGGCAAAACTGAACTGTGGAGTTCAGTTTGCGTTTAAAGTGGGTATGAAGTAAGGTATGGCTGTCACATAATTTTCTAGTTGGGGAGGGATACTTTTGAAAAAGAGAATCAATTAGTTTAGTTCAGTTGCTGTCTCCATAAGGGAGTCCATCCCCTTTCAGTATCTTTGTCACTGTCTAGGGACATCTTTAGTTTTTACAACAGCAGAGGGAAACAAGTGCAGCTGTCACCAAGAAAAGTCAAGAATATGCTGGGCACCCCGAAATGCATCTAATATACAAGTGCCTGACTCCAAATGTCAACAACCTTAGGATTGGGTGGTCCTGATGCAGCTGGACATCCTGCCTTAGATCTGCTGAGGAAGGAGGGAAGGAGGAACAAAGACAAGAGGAATTGTGGGACTGAATTAAGTAAGCAAACCCAGTAGCTGATATCATGGAGGGGTGAGGGGAGGGGGAAGCGAACACATAAAGAAAAGTTTTATGAACAAAGAAAAAAGGTCAAGGGTTTTAAAATTATGCAAGTGTATTCTCATGCCAATGGATAAAATATACTGAAGATTAAACTTTTAAAAATATAAAAGGGAAGGGAGGGAAGAAGAGGTAGAAGGAAGAGAGAGGAAAGGAGAGGGGAGAGAGAGGAGACCACCCTGCTCACATACACACACGCACACTGAATCGTAAAAGATGGATGTTTTGGCTTTGTACCATCTCTCTTTGGGCTTCTTTTAAAGTGTGTCCCATAATCCTGCTACATGTATTCTTCCAGGAATATCTGACAAAGCTGTAATAAAAAAAATGGGGGGTATCCCAAATTGCCATCTCCTCTCTATGAGCACTGCCGCCTGCCATGGAGGGCTCAGAGCATTTGGCGGGGGCCCGGCTGCAGCAGCCAGCATCTGCTGCCTGCATTCTCTTGGAGGAGCATCAGGGATATGAGAACTTGGGGAGAAATTAACCAAGCGATCAAAAGCAGATGAAAAGATATTAAGAGGTACAGCGTTCCCCTCCCTGCAAACATTATGGGAAGATGAAGTTTGTGGTTAGATGAGGGTGTACAACTCATGACCATGTACAAATAGCTTTGGGGAAAAAAAAGAGTGTGAGGTAAGAAATCAACTATCATGTTATGATGAACCCATAACATGTACAACTGACTGTATGAATGGCTGGAAGGAAAATTGAAATGCTTGCTTCTAACAAGTTCATTTGACATTTATTAGCATCCCATCAAAAGGGAAAAAGTATATATTAATTAATAAATAAATAAAAGGGCAACTGATTGGCCACCTTTACCCTTTACCCTTGTGAAGGCAATCTGGGATGCTTTTTCTATTGCATCTTGTATTTCTTTTTTCTGTTTTTCCATTTTACACTTGATTTTCTAAGAAAGATATTTATCTTCTTTCACAAAAAAAAATTTAAGTCTGAAAGCAGACATAACAACAGACAGAACTTTGGATCTTTAGAACTGAGAATGAAAGCAGTCACCAACAATTAGTCTTTACCAACATGGACAGGGGGGAAGTAAAAAGATTTCAATGTGCTTTCCTCATTAATCAGTGGGACATCTGACCAGAACATGAGATTCCTTAAAACCAGACCGTAAGTATCATGCTGAGATGCAATGAAGTCTGAGAATGTATTGAAAGATTGGCCAAAATGTCGGGTTGATTTAATAAGTATTAGATGGACACAGAAAAGGCTATGTGTACTTGCATCTAAAATATAAATAATAAATACTACTTTCCATTGTAGCACTAAAATTGAAAAAGATAAGATTACTCTAGACCACAGAAACTCTCACTTACAAACGGTTGATTAATGGAGAGGACTTACAGACAGCAAGGGGATGGCAACTTTTCCAAGAAAATCTGGAGCTTTATCTCCATCTTCATCAAACACTGTCACTTCCAGAACATCATGGATGTCTTTAATAGGGCTGAAAGAGGAAATATCAGGTATTATACACAAAAACACACGGGTGACGTCCGCTCCATGAAGATCTGAAAACACTTGCACTAATTAAGTCTGTGTGTCCTCAGAGTATAAAACTACCATTTAATTAAACTCCAAAAATTAAATCAAACTGACTGTATTCCCAAACCTTCCATCATGGAAGATTCAGATGTGCATACGATGAAAGGAGTCAACTTTGTTCCTTTGGCATTTTCTACACATGTGTGCACTCAAGGGTGATACTGTTAAAGAAACAGGATAACAGAAGAGAAAGGAAAGGGATGGCAAAGTTGTTCTGCAATAGGAATAGCAAAAATTACCTTTGAAATTAACAAAGAAAAAATATGAAGGACTGAAGATCTGGTATGTGGTTAAAAGCACTTATTGATCTTGCAAAGGACCAGGTTCAGTTCCCAGCACCCACACTGTAGCTCACTCCTGCCTATAAACACAGTTCCAAGGGATCCCATACTCTTTTCTCACCTCTATGGTCTTCTGAATGCACATGTGGTGAATATAAGCCCACAAAGACATACATACTTACTTACATGTTTACATAAAATTAAGCAAATAAGTATTTCAAACATATTTCTTAAAAAGAAAATGTGCTTAAAATTCATAATTTGATGAGGTACACAGAAAGCCTTTCCTAATTGAAGCATGCAGTACAAAATAACCCACCTACAGCTTTAGAAACAATTTTTCTTTATATTGAACAAAAACCAGGCACAGCTGACAATAAAAAACAAGAGCCATGGCTATTGTCAAAAACCCTTGTATTTGACAGTTGGCTGATGCATCTTCAGCTGACTCACTTATGCCAGACCTTAAGAGGGACTTCCTATGAATATCATCAATTGCACTGGAGGCAAATCCGACTCTTTTCACTCATAAACACAGACTAAGCAGTCAGTTTTGAGGGGGTGAGGCATCATCAACTCACCCAAGTCCAACAGGGGCCTCCTCTTAACAGTGAGGCACCATGAAATCTAAGGCAAACTAGGAAACTAAATATATGCATTTTCCTAAATGCCCAAGTTTGATGAAACACACAGGGCAGTCCAAAGGAGTCAGCCACCCTGACAGAAGGGAATGTCAGGAGCCATTGGGAGTCTTTAAGGAATCAAGGATAATCTGCATTCTCCAGAAGATCCTGACAGAATACAAATCTTCATCATTTAAGTTAGTATCATAACACATAAGTGCTCAGAATTTAAGACAGGACTCCATTTGTAACTTTTCTTAACCCAGAAATAGATTAGTCTGGACATCTAGAAGCTTCCATCTACGCACAGATTAATTTAGTCACTAAAAGATCTACTTTATAAATGTCTCCAAGCAGTCCCTTACAGTTCCAAATGGTCTCTTCTATTATTAAGCCATACTATAAAATGAAAGGATAAAAGGTTTTGGGAAGAAAAAGAACAATAAAATTCACTCTTTGCACATAAAACTTGGAGGAAAATTTCCCCTCAAGAGCCCCCAGCCTGCCCCATACACATCAGGGATAATTGCTCTCCAAGTTAAAGCTGCTCCTTGGGTCCTAGAGCATGACACACTTACAATGTAAAAACTTTGTTCCACTCAGGGTTGAGGCTTTTGTAAATGGTGTGTGTCTGAAGTCGGTCGTTACCCAACTCCAACAGGCAGAAAGGATCGCTCTTCCCTGGAAAGGGAACACAGACAAGCATCAAAGACCAATGACTCTCAAAAAGGACCCTGCAAATTGAGCCAAAGCTGTGTGCTTTCACAATAAATTCATGAGAAGGGAGACAGAGGAGAGAGAAGCTGCTCTCCTGCCAGGATTTCCGGGTCCACATTTGAGAATTTTGGAAATGGGGAAAGCCCAGGAGTTCTCAGTCTTTAACTTCAAGGGATCCAGACTGATGAGCACCTGAATTTTCACTCTGAAAGTCAATGACCATAGAGCTCACAGGTGGGGGTATCAGGTGTCCATGTGGAAGGGTCCTCAATTCCTTGTGTGTCTATAAAAGGAACTCAATAGCAAAATAAAATAACTCAGTTAAAACTCCTCAAAAGACCTTTAAAGGCACACAAAGCATCAAATGTGAAGAGACATTCAACATTAAAGTTCTTCAAGAAAATGCTAATCAAAGCCACAATGTTATATCATCTCACCACAGGTAGAATCCTGTTACCAAACAGGCAACAATAGAGCTGGAGATGTACTGACTGAGAAAGAAGTTAGCACATACAAGGCCCTGTGCTTGATTCCTAGTACTTCAAGAAAACAGAAACAAAGAAAAAACTGAGAAATAACAGAAATATCTGAAAGAAAGGAAGTCTTATATGTTAGTGGGACAATCAGTTAGTAAGACATTATGGAAGAACAGGGTTTCTATAAAACCTACACAGAGATCTACCCTTTACTATAGAGTTCATCACAGCATTCCTCACAAAGTGAAAAATGCAAACAACATAGGTGTCCACCAGCTGGCAAGCACAGGAAGAAAATGTGGTACACAACAGAATAATAGCCAGTCATAGGACGATTAAATAATTAAGAGGATTAAATCATGTCATTTTCAGCAACACAAATGAACCTTAGCCCAATAGGTTATGTAATTTAATCACAGAAAAATAAATACTGCAAGGTCTCATCCATATACAGTATAGATAGGATCATGAAGTAGAGTTGGGCTGGAGAGCTCGCTTATCAGTTACAATCATTAGCTGCTCTTGTGAAAAATTCTGGTTCAATCCCTAGCACCCACATGGCAGCTCACAACCATCTTTAGATTTAGGACATGGGATAACTTCTTCTGGCCTCAACAGGTATCAGGCCAGCAGATGGTGCAAAGACATGCATTCAGGAAAACACCAATACACATAAAAATAAAAACAAATCTCAGAAAAATAAGGAAGAAGCATAGTGAAAGAGTGATTACAAGATGCTAGAGAAGGAGGAGGGAGGGATGATGGAGAGAGATTTGTGCACAAGTACAAGGTTGAGGTTGAACTGAAGGGTGTTCTCTTATATAGTATCATAATGTTGTATTGGATGTTGTAAAAGAGCTATAGAAAAGGATTTTGGATCTTCAAATACAAAGGCATGCTGGATGTATGAAATTATAGACACAGTGCATATGCTTGATTTAATTATGGCACAATGGACACACATACCAAAACACCACACTCTATGATGTTGCTAGCATATGCCAGTTAAAGCAATGTATTGAAACCTCAACATTGCTACCTCCCTAAATTTTCTTTAGGTCAATGTACTCATTTTGTTTGTTTGTTTGTTTGTTGAGACAGGGTTTCTGTGTATTGCTTTTGAGCCTGTCCTAGAACTAGCTCTGTAGAACAGACTGGCCTCGAACTCACAGATTTTTTTTTTTTTTTTTTTTTTTTTTTTTTTTGCCTCTGCCTCCTGAGTGCTTGGATTAAAGGCATGTGTCACCAATGCCTGGCAATAGTTACTATTCTATTATTGGAAATCAATGAAAACACTTATTGCCATGAGGCTTTGAGAAGATAGACTTATGACTAAACCTCTGTCCTAGGTGAATAAATAGATTCTCAGTATGTGGCTCCATAGGCTAAAGTTTGTAGCGTTATGAAACATTAGAAGTATAGTTCAGTAAGTAAGGTTAGAGCTAATTTTTTCAACTTAAAATTTTCATCTCACAGGGCTGGTGGGGATAAAAGTCTGAATTCTATTCTCTAGAACCCAGAAAAACCTGGGCAAAATGGGAGACAGAGGCAAGAAAATTCCAGGAAGGTTCTGGGCCAGCTAGCCTGGAATATAGTGGAAAACACAAAGAGAGACACAAAAATACAGACACACACACAAACATACACCTTGTATAAACAAGGTGTAAGGTGATCATTAATACTCAACACAAAAAATATAGACACATACAAATATGCACCCTGTCTAAACAAGGTGTAAAATGATGATTAATACTCAACACTGTCTTATGACCTTCATACACTACTGTGACATGTGAGTGTAGGTATTTGCACATAGGTACATCATATGGTCACAAGCATGCATGTGGACATGCACAAATATGCACATACTGTCACCTCACCTCTCTTTTTCCATCGTATCTCCCTCTATCCTCCAAAAGAATATACATAAGAAGCAAGGACACCTCAAATCCAAAATCTGCTTGACAGGCTCCAAGTCAAAAGCCATTACCTTTCCCAGAAACTGGCAAAGAGGCCTAAGATTGAATCTCTCAGGGGAAGAAAGAATGGCTACATTAGTGTGGCATTATAGGAGATTTAAAATCAGAAATCCCTCCAACAGATAACATGATAGAGGGATTAAAGAAACAAAAAAAAACCAAAAACAAACAAAAAAAAAAAAAAAAAACCAGAGTCCTCTGAATTCCTGAAGAAGAAAGAAAGTTATAAAACCAGAGTTAAGAAAATATGTACTCTGTCAACCAAAAGCACACATGCAATAGATATCCTTCTCCCTGAGCAAAACCCTCTTTTTCATCAAGATTTTGGACTCAATAGCCATTCTTGCCCCTAAACCCTGACTGTGGCTACTTCTGAGATCATTTCTGGCCTTTAGGCTTTTGAATGGAAGTGTCTTTGACTTGTTCTCTAAGAATGTCCTGCAAGTCAGACCAAACACAGAAGGTGCAAGGAAATGCCACTATTAACACAGGAATCCAATATCACCCAATTTTGCAGACTTGTAGTCAGGTTCCTCTGGTAAGGTCTTCTCTTGAAGAAGTGTAAGAGGAGCCTGCTGGGGTGGCAAGATGGGCTTCCCCTCCATCACTGATGGGGAGGAAGACACCGGCCCTGCCTGACAGGCTCAGGTGCAGCAGCATACCCCCTCCTCAACCTGAGCTGGAACAGCTACTTAACCGTTTGTCAGACCATTAGTAGGTGTCAGCACTGCTCCTCTAGGGACAGCAGCATGACATGCCATCAGCATTGGCTCTGGGGAAAGCACCTGACACTTTTAATGAAAGCCCTGGGGTTGGTACACAGCAGGGCAGAGGCACTACAGTCCCACAGAGGCACAGGTGGGCTCGAGCTGTGCCTAGCTTTCCTGAGCAGCCTTGTGCCTAGCTGTCTTAGCTAATGAGGAGCACGCTCCTCTCCAGAACCCAGGAACTTGAGTTATGTGTCTCCAAGGATCCTACTGCTCCAACTCTCTGAAGATAATTCAGTCAAAGCTCATTAAAATGCTGCATTTATTAATATTACAGCATAAACAGGCAGAGAGAAGAGGAAACAAAGACATGCCTGTGATTATGGAGTAATTTGTGGACACTTTGTACATTAGTTTCTTTCTCTTAGAGGTTTCAGAGGGGAGGGTTATCTAAGATTTACATGATGAATATTTTTATTAAGGACAATGCTCTCTCATAAAAATGGGCCATCCAAACATTTCCCAAGGATAGTAAGAGAATAATGGCAGGCAAACTGAAATTTAGACATCCTGCAGAACATTTTTACCACACCCTATTTTGCTATCAAGCTTCTAACCTAATACCTCCAGTATAAGTAGATGTACATGACCATGTCATAGATATGTTAGTGGCTCATGTTCATGATGAAGTATCATTCAATAATTTTTTGGGGATGCCAATTTAAAATTCTATTTCTTAAATAGTAGCTAGAAACTTTGCATTTTACTAGCTTAACCTTTATTTGGATACTACAGAAAATCAGATCTTGGCATTTTGGGAGTAATATCTGTCCTTGTTGGGGTTTCTATTGTTGCCCTCTAACTCCATGACCAAAAAGCAAGTTGGGGAGGAATGAGTTTATTTAGTTTACACTTTAGTATTGCTGTTCATCACTGAAAGAAGTCAGGACAGGTACTCAAACAGGTAGGACCAAGAGACAGGAGCTAATGTGGAGGCCATGGAGGGGTGTTGCTTACTGGCTTGCTTCCCATGGCTTGCTCAGTTCACCTTCTTATAGAACCCAAGACCACAAGCCCAGGGACAGCACCAAGATAAGCTGGGCCCTTCCACATCTATCACTAACTAAGAAAATGCCTTGCAGCTGGATCTCATTAAGGTATTTCTTTAACTGAGGTTCCTTCCTCTCTGGTGATTCTAGTTTGTGTCAAGTTGACACACAAAACCACCCAGTATAATATCAATCATTTGAAAGCTATTTCCTGAACATCTACTTTATTCCTAGCACTGCCCAGGACATGGATACACAAAGTTAACCATCCTCAAGAACTCTTGCATCCTTAAGAACTCTCCTCAGAGGAAGGGACTTTATAGTAGAAACAAGGGGGTCCTTCCTGAGGTGTTGTGTACAAATTCATCAGGAAGGCATTTATGTGCATACACATACAGTAGGTGTACTCTATCTGATGAGTCTAATGAGCACTAATAATATATGTAATTATACTTGTGATAAATTCATCTGTTTGAATAGAGACAAGCAAACCATTTACACACCATCTCCATTGTAGCAATGTAACAAGATGCAGGTTAGATAATGCATGTGGGAGAATATGTGTGCATAGTTTTATAAAGTCTACACATTTTATGCAAGGGGGTTGAGCATCCTTAAATCCTATGACAATGGAAGAAGTCATTTTTCCTTTTAATTTCACTTCCATGTTCCACCCAACTTTCAAACATACCAGTGTCATCTGAACTTGCCTTGCCCATGAGCAGAAGTCACTCTCCTCGCAGAAGCCAGAAT